GTCAGCTGTGGAAAGTGGAGTGGGGGTGGTGGGGTGGGGGGGGGGGGGAGAGAGAAGCTCCCGTATCTTTTCCAGTCGTGGCGGGAGATGTTTAACGTCCACCTGAACAGGGCACAGACGGGCTCGGCTTAACGTCTCAGCTGAAAGACGGGGCTTCCCACAAAGCAGCGCTTTTGGGGGAAAATGAGTCACAGACGCGCGGAGCACAACAACAACAACAGCTTCCTCGTTCCTTTATTCTCTCGCTCCCTCCTTCATTCTTTCATTCTCCCCCTCCCACCTTCATTCACTCATGCCCTCCTTCATTCATTCTCTCCTTCCTTCATTCACTCACTCACTCACTCAGTCACTCACTCGCTCACTCCCTCCTTCACTCCTTCTCTCTTTCATTCCTTCATTCATTGCTTCCCTCCCTCCACCACAGTTTTCCCTCTCTATCTGTCACTCTTTCGCTGTCTGTGGCTCAGGGTCACTCCCTATCAAGATCAGCCTCAGTCCCACTGATTGTGCTGTTTGCCGGGAGCTGAGCCTGACAGATGGGTGGTTTTCCACGGGAGGTGTCTGGGGGAGGGGGGGGGAATGATGGGGCAGGATTGGGGGTGGGGTGGGGTAGCGGTGGGGGAACCAAAACTAGTCGCAGGAGGTGTTAGTGTGTGCGTGTGCATGTGCTTGAGCGAGAGAGAGTGGGGGAGAGGCAGAGAAAGAGGGCGGGCGAGTACGCGCACTGCCTCTGTTAAAGCGCTGAGCGTGTTTGCGTGAACCGAGGAGCCATTCACGTTTACACAGTGTCCGAAATGAAACGGGTTTTGCCGTCTCTGTCCCACAGCACTGAGCTGAGGGCTAAAGTCCCCACTTTCAGAGGATCAGGAGCTGTTTGTAAATAGCCTTTGGACCTTGTCGAATTAAAGTTTATTTTTTTTTATTATGGTTACACTATTTCCATTTTATACAAAACTTTACATAACTGGCGCCAAATCAAGATACCACACACACACTCACACACACACACACTCAAAATCCAATAACAACAACAACAAATTACACTTGTATAGTGCCCGCCCCACACGTTGGGAGAACGTCTCGAGGAGCTGGACAGTCAGGGATTTGCTTCGTGGGTTTTTTTTGGGTGAGGGGAGGACACAGAGCAGTTGATCTGGAGAAGCCGATAATAATAGTAATAATAATAATAATATTGTAATCGTAAAAGAATCCTGGCGACTGATATAATGTGGAAACCTCGCAAAGCGATTCACAGGGAATCAATGTCAATTGCGGTGAAATTTACACATTTTGCCGGTTATGTGGACAAGCTCTGAAGACTCTTTGCATTTCTCTCCATCACTGTGTGTGTGTTTGCGTGTGTGCGTGTTTGTCTGTGAGAGAGATTTTTTTGCATTTAACAATCTCCCAGATCAACACTCTCTCACCTCACGGCTGTTTGCGGGACATTGCCAGCTGCTAATTAATTGCCTGCCGCGTTCACCTACAAAATACGCAGTCACTACACCTCGCGGCCTTTCCCTTCCCCCGCCCGCCCTGTTTGAGATGTCTTCGCACTTACAGGCACGATATTGAGCGCAGGGATTATTCAATTATTTAGCGGCAGGCAATGTTTAACGTTTAATATTAGATTAAACGGTGAGCTCCAGACATTACGTTACATTCCACAAGTCTGGCTGTGAAATAAAGCCTCGGGTCTGTAACACTGGCGTCTATCCCAGTGCAGCACTGGCATAGCATAGGCTTAGTGCTGGTTTGTGTGTCTAATAATAATAATAATCATTAATAATAAAAATCCTCGCATTTCACATATAGTCTTTCACATCAAGAGGACGTCTCTAAAAGTGTTTCACAGGACGCACTGTAAAGTGGAGGGACTGTGTATATTTCGTGGGCGAAACGCGGCAGCCATTTGCGCACACGTGGCGATGGAGTCGTGGATTGAGTCACGACATTGTTAATTTTTTTTTACCCGCTCCCCCACCCCCAATTACAAAGTGGTGTGTTTTTTATTAGCATTTAAACAACAGCAGATTTCCATTCACTTCTCCAACAAGGTGTGTGTCTGTGTGTGTGTGTGTGTGTATATATAGGGGGGGTGGGGGGGAGCTGCCTCAAACGAAGCCTGTTTTTTTGTGACCTCCGCAATATTTCCAGCACATGAGCTCCCTGGTACCTGAGCCGCTATGTGTGTGTGTGTGAGAGAGGGAGAGAGAGAGATTCCCATTCAGTCTCGCTCGATTTGTCCAAATCCTTTTTAAAAATTATCACCCCCTCCCCCCACCGCCCACTCCCCCACTCTCCGGTCTGACATTGCAGGTTCATCCATGTGTTAAAAAAAATCATTTAAAAAGAAGCTTTCTCTCTCAGTTCCTTTTCTCACACTGTTGTTGAGACACTGTTGTTGTCTTTTTTTACTGACTCATCGACCAGTGTTCAACTCTGTACTTTTTCTCTGTTTAATTTGACACAAGGCGGGGGGAGGGGGAGGAGAGCGGGGCCGGGTGGGGGGGGGGGGCGGGGGGCGGGGGTGAGGGGAGGAGAGGCGGAAGGAACAAAGAAAGCAAAGTGACTGACCGAAAAGGCACCGAATTATTTGTTTTTTTTCGCTCCAGATCAAAATGTAACCTTTCTGGTAAATTTCACCCCAGAGGTGGTGGGGGGGTTGGTGGTGGGGGGGTTGGTGATTGATGGTGGGGGGGGGGGGGGGGTGGAACGGACACAGATGCGAGTCTAAGGTAGAACGTTGTTTGTCCAAGCCCCACGTCGGGACTTGGAACAACGTAGTCTAAGCTGACACCCCAATGCCGAGCTGGGAGGGGGTGTTTCATTGCCGGTGATGCCGTCCTTCAGATGAGATGTTGAACGAGGTCCAGTCTGTCTGTTCAGGTGGACGTTAAAGATCCCGTGGAACTATAGGCAGAGAGAAGTCTCGACGACACGATCATCGTGAGTTTCCGTCTCCCTGTGTCCCGGCTGACAATCCCCCGCCCCAAATAAACATGGGTCACTCACTCCCTGGCTGCTTGTGGGACGCTGCTGTGCGGAAATCATGCTGCCGTGCTTCGTACACGAAACACACAGTCACTCCACTTTACAATATATCCTGTGAAGCGCTTTGAGACGTCTCAACGAGACGATCAGGCGCTGTATCAAATGCAAGGATTCTTATTATGATTATTGGATGCGACAGAGGTTGTGTTGTTGATGGTCGCAGCGCAGGGAGTTGTGAGGTGCCAATTCGAGCCAATGCTTTGTGCCAGATGGAGTTGGACGTTGATTAGATGTTCCACAAAGGACGAGACACTGAGAGCTTGTGCCAAATCTCTTACTTTGGCTCAGTCGCTCCCACTCTCTCCTGTGGGTCAGAAGGTTGTGGGTTGTAAAGCCCCCAATGCCAAAACTTGAGCTCACAATCCAGGCTGACACTGCAGCGCTGCGGGGGTGGGGTGTGGGGGTGGGGGGGGGGAAGGGAAAGAGAAGGGCATTGCCTTTCAGATGAGATGTTAAAGCCAAAGTCCTGCCTGCTCTAGTGGTTCAGGACCTGTTAAGCTCTCTGGCTGTTTTGGAGGAAGTTTTGGATTCCCTTGGAATCTCAGCTCCTGTTTCTCGCCCACCGTTGGTTAAGTTGCTGGTTAGGATTCCCTGGTTTTAAACCACCCCCCAAAAAAATATTTCATCCCATCAGATCATTTCACCAAATAACTTGGTCAGCGGCCATTGAGTAAGTTTGGGTTCTGTGACACTCGGAGGCTCGCTTTGTTCCCAGACATCTCAAAGACGTGATAAGGCACTATATCAAATGCAGGGATTATTATTATTATGTTAACCATGGTTTCTGTTTGTTTTCCATCCCTCTCCCTCTTCTCTCTCCCCCCCCCCCCCCCCCCGCCCCCCCTCCCCAAAGAAAATACAGTAGTTGTTTGTTGTGGGATTTTGATGTGCCAGGAATTCAGACTGATTTATAGTGAGTTGATTTAGGAGAATGCGATTACAGAAAATCTGTACAGGAAATGGAGGGGGGGAGGCGGTGGGGGCTGGGTGTGGGGGGGGGTCGATAGACTGATGAGGTCAGAGACACGGCAGGTCCATGTGTTGAACAGCAAAGGCAAAGGTTGTGGGGGCAGGAAGTTGTGCTCAGTGACATGTCGAGCAGAGGAGTGGGGGGGGGAGAGGTGGGGGGGAGGTTATGCTCCATGGGAAGTCTCGACGATGCGATCATCAAATGCAGGGATTATTGTAATAATATAATAATAATCCTGGAGCCTGATATGGCGCCTGATCACGTCAACGAGACCTCTCATAGCGTTTCACACAATTTGTCGTAAAGTAGATTGACTGTGTATTTTTGTGGGCGAAACGCGGCAGCCAAAGAGCGTCCCACAAACCGCGGAGGATTGGATGGTTGTTACGAAGGAGGTTCCTAGCCAATCGGAGGGAACCCAAAATTCCACCTGGTCCCGGCCTGTGAGACACGGACACTGTGGTCTGGAAGTTTCAGAATTGTGGAAAACTTTTCAATTTGGTTTGAATTATGGAAATCTAGATTTAGATCAAAAATCACTCAAGAGGGGTGAGAAGCGAGGATCGAAGTGATGTCTCTGGCCTTGCGCTGACCAAAAATGGGGGTGTCAATTGCAGTATTCATAAACCAGGGGAATGTCAAATAAATAATTATGCGGATATAGCAGAGGGGGCAGGAGTGGGGGACACAGGAAGCTAATGATGCAAATCCATTTGAATGTCTCTCATTGAGACAGAAGTGAAGTTTCGCTCGGGAAAGATTAGCCGTCGGATTAATTCGCAAACGTTTCGGGGAATTTCGAGCCTGATTAAATCTTTCAGTTCTGACATGTCAGCGAGGACCTGCCTGGGCCGCCTTTCGTCTCTCCCTTCGTCTCTCCCTCCATCTCTCCCTCTGTCCCCAAGTGCCAAATCCGAGTGTAGAAACCTGAGCCTTTTTTTCTCCCCCGTAGTACGAGCGCAATGAACGAATCATGGCAAAATCCCACGAGCAGCTGGGAAGAGAAATAATTGCACATTTCTCTGAGAGACTATGTGTGTGTTTGCTCGGGAGTTACACATTCACAGCCTGAGTTATGCACAGTCGCATCACAAACAGCAACTGGGTCAACACTTAAATATATCAGTAGTTTTTGTTATATTGTGATGGGAAGGGGGGAGTGGAGGTTACTGGACTGGAGTGCCTCTCCAGCGCTCGTGAGTTTAAATCTGAGCTGTTTGACATAAGGAAATGATAATTTCATATCGTGCCTTCTGGCCGCAAACCTCCGGTTTAAATCGTATGTTTGCTTCTTGGCCGTTTGCGGAAACTTCTGCTGTGCGCAAACCAGCTGCCGCGTTTGCCAACAAAACGCACAGTCACTACACTTTAGCAGCGATTAGCGCTGGAGCTTCAAGGCATCTCCACTGTGCAACGTGAGCAGGGTTGCCCGAATAACAATAATGATAACAGTCCCTGCTTTTGACACAGCGCCTTATCAAGTTGATGAAACAATTCAAAGCGCTTCATAGGATTTTACTGTGAAATGCAGTCACTGTGTGTTTTGAAGGCAATTTTTTGCACAGCAATGGAGCGAGTGAACAATTTTTCATTTGGAGGATTGTTGGCCAGGACACTGGGCACAGACGAGACCTCAGTTTAAGACACCACTGGGAAGTGCCTTCTGTGATGGAGAGATTACTGCGACCTCTGACTGAGGGACCGAGAGAGCGAGCAAATGAGAGAAAGCGAGCGACAGAGAGAGAGGGAGAGAGAGCGCAAATGAGGAGAGACAGAGAGCGACAGAGAGAGAATGCAAATGAGAGAGCGAGAGAGAGCAAGCGAGAAAGCAGAATTTCCAGTAATAAATCTGTGTGAACCCTCTGGCCCTCTCTGTGAGGAGGAATGTGGCTACTGGACTGTATCACAATTCCGAGTGGCCTCAGCAGCGTTAGTTGACAGCTGGATGGAGTGGCTGTGTGTGTGTGGTGGGGTGGGGGGGGTGTGTGGTTTGATGTGAGTACGGGAATACACAGTGGGGGTGGGGGGCCTTGTTAAGGAATAACGCAAAATCGCGGTTGCGGAGCTGCTCTGCCGATGACGGTGACAATCGCTGTGTGTTTCCAGGAGCCAGCGCCGCCTCCGGCCATAGGTGTTGATTATCACAGCGGATCGTGGGCAGGTCGATGAGCTCTGGCAGCGGGGAGACATGTCACAGGCTCGCTTCCTCCTCCTTCTGGTCGCTCTGTCCATGAACTTTCAGGTAAAGGGGTGGGGGGGGGGGAGAGGGGGGGAGGGGGTGTACGGTAATCAGCAACACAGGCACCATCGGCAATGTGTGTGGAGTGGACACGGTTTTTCTGACTGATTCCACTGGATTCTCGCCAGCTTCTCATACGCTTGTGTTTTTAGACGGGATAAAATGTTTCTCGTGGATTGAGTGACTCATTTTTTTGGTGGGGGTTTATTAACCCCGGAACGCAAACTGCCAATTGGCTAACAACCGGGTTCCTACTTACTGCAAAGGAACAGAGCGGTGTGGAGTAAGGAAACTTGCTTAAGGTTTCGTCCCGCCCGGGAATCGTTCTCTCACTTGCGAGGCGAATGCGCTAATGACTCCGAACGTTAAGTAGGAGTTGGTTGGTAGTGGCCGGAATTTGGACCCTCTACCTTGACCTCCAGGTGATGGTCAAAGGAGAAAGATTCCTGAGGCAACCTCAACAGTAACTTGGATCAAACCAAGTGCAATAAACACCTTCCTCTCCGCTCGAGACAAGTCACCCATTCATTTTTTTTGTAGGGTAAACCACTTGGCACACCCAGTGCTGATTTATTTTTCGAAGTGAAGCTGTTCTCTATCTCTCTCTCTCTCTCTTTTCCTCTCTCTCTGAGGCTCTTTTTAACATACAGAGAGAGAAGCATCTTGAGCTGTAAATAACACTGTGGGAAGATTGCTCTGGGCTCTTGGTTCTTCACGCACCGATGTCCGAGCCCATTAATCACTGGCAACTCATTCGCTGAGCAATCTACCTCCGTTCTCATTGAGCTGCTCAGGCCTTGATGATGGATCAAGTTATCATACCTCGAGGCCCTGGGCAATAAATCCCCCCAAACGGCTGAAATAGAATAGAACTCAGGGCTTGGGAATAACCTACCGCCGTGCCAGCGTAAATGTAACCAGACGAGGTTAACTAACAGACACAGGACGGGATTTGGTCTGTTGTGGAGTGCCGCAGCGTAGTGGTAAGGCTGTTTGTGGGACGCTGCTGTGCGCAATTGGCTGCTGCGTTTCACCCGCAAAATACACTTTACATATATCCTGTGAAACTCCCACTCTCCCTCTCACTCACACTTCACCGCCGCTCCCGGCCCGCACGATCACTCGACTGCACTGTAAATGCACGGGAAGTGCTTTGAGATGTTGGGACGTGAGGAACCACCTTTCCCTTGTTTCTGTTCCTCTCAGAAAACGTCAGCTAAGAAGATGCAGGCCACGCTGGAAAAGTGGGAGAAATATTCTGATGAATGTTCCAGAAACATGTCCAGGACCCCTCAGCCCACAGGTGAGGCTTCTCTCCACTTCTCATTCAAGGTCCCCTTTGATGACTACGAGACATTGACCGGTCATTGGCTGGCCCCCCCGATCTGCCTCTGTTACTAAACTATGTCTGCCCTTTCGCCCCACCATCCCCATATAGGTGTCGTGTGCAACCGGACCTTCGACAAATATGCCTGTTGGCCGGACGGCCTCCCAGATACAATTGTGAACGTCTCCTGTCCTTGGTACCTGCCCTGGTACAACGCAGGTAAATCAGGCTGACAACACACAGCCACTCGTGGCTCCTCATCGGTAACTGCAACTTGTTCTTGTTATAATAATACTGATAATAATCCTTGCACCTTATCACATCGTTGAGACGTCTCAATGCAATTCACAGAATATATACTGTAAAGTGAATTGACTGTATATTTTGTGGGCAAAGCGCGGCAGCCAATTACGCACAGCAGCGTCCCACAAACACTCGTGAATTGAATGACCAATTTTTTATTTATTTTTATTGAGGGATTGTTACCCCCGGAAAGCGATCCTCCAATCGACTAACAACCGAGTTCCTATTTACTACTGGGTAAACAGAGGCATGTGGAGTAAGGAAAGGTTTCACCCCGACCTGCCTGGGAAATGAACCCAGGTCCTCTCGCTTGCGAGGCGAGTGCTCTAACCACTAGGCTAAGGGATTCCACAGTTGTTGTGACAGACCATGCACTGTCACTGAAGGGCACTGAAGCCCCATCAGCTTTTCTTGTTTTCCAGTGGAGAACGGGTCTGTGTACAGGAAATGTGGAGCCAATGGCCAGTGGGAGATGGGACCCAAAATGCAGCCCTGGAGGGAGAGCAGCCAATGTGTGTTCAACGCCAAAGACGACCGGTTTGAGGTAGGAGAGAGAGAGAGAGCACCCTGTGGCGTAATTCCCCTCGATGCAGCCTACAAACCTCAATCCCCCCACCCAAGGCCTTCCTCTTTGACTACAACTTCGGTCATTTTCCCTCCTCCACCTCCCTTGCCTCCCTCCCTCCCCTGACTCCAGCCTGCAACCTTTGACAGTCCAGCGTCTTGGGACGTCCTCCCTACACGAAAGGTGCTGTGTAAATGCAATGTTTGTTGTTGTTGCTGTTCCCTTCTCCCTCGTGACTGCATTAATTGTTTTGATGAACCCTATCTGAGGAACGGCCATTTCGAGACCAGACCTCTGAACTCCCGCGCTATCCCACCAGGCATTTCACCAAGCGCGGTGGTAACAGCAGTCAATGTGCTTCTTTCACAGAAAAAAATGGGGAAAATCTTGGCTGGTTTCAAAGTGATGTACACAGTGGGCTACTCCTTGTCCCTGGGAACCCTGATCCTAGCCCTCGGCATCCTGGTGGGATTCAGGTAAGATTTGGTTCCCTCTTTATAATAATAATAATCCTTGCATTTGATTTAGCGCCTTAGCACGTAGGAAGACAGGCGTGATCTGAACACGAGTAACGAGGGGTCAAGGCGGAGGTATAGAGGTAGAGTATGATAGAGTTTCGGGGCATAGAGGCTGAAAGGGCGGCTACCAATGGTGGAAGGAGACAACTCTGTGCTATTATGAGAGCATTTTATGGTTTGGTTTTGTTCATTTTAACTTTGATTCTCTCGGTCTCTCTTTTCACTCTCTCTCTCTCTCTCTCTCCCGCAGGAAGCTCCACTGTATGCGGAACTATATCCATATGAACCTATTTGCCTCCTTCATTCTGCGCGCAGTATCCATCCTCATCAGAGACGCACTTTTCAAAATGCATTACACGAGTGTCACCACGGGCAACCCGGACATCAAAATGTGGTTCAACAACAAGGTAATGGCCCAGCAGTCTTGTTCTGAAACAAACGGCAGAAGTCCTTCTGGCAAAGCGCTCGACATCTCAAACTGCCATCTTGGAGCCTGAGCCATGATGGCGTTCCCAGGTCACACGGGAGGTTCCAGCACAGAAGGCAACTTCCGTCTGATCTCATCTTTCCAGAATCATCCGCTCTCCGTCTTCCCATTCGCAGCGGCCTGGCCTCAGGCCCCCGCCCGCCCTGCCTGCCCTGCCCACGTCTCGATTTCCCCTCTCGAGTAGAAATACTTCCTGGCTCCTGCCCCGAATCTTCTTAAGAACTGTGAGCGTCCGGGGGGGAGGGTGTGTGGGGGAATTGGGGGGTGGACGAACATGGAAAAGGATTCCACCAGCATCGCTTGTTGGGCTGAATGGCCTGTTTCCGCACTGCGTCGCTCTAAACATTGTAAGGCAAGGCGGTCTCGCGGGCTGAGACTGGACGGAATATTCCGGGGCTCGGGCATTGCGGAGCGGGGGATGGGTGGGGGTGGGGTGGTGCTGAGTGATCGCCGCTGCACTCTTACCGTTTCCCTTTGTTGAAGCAGACGGCGGGGGGCTGTAAGGCTGCGCAGGTGCTGATGCAGTACTGCATTGGGGCCAATTACTACTGGCTGCTGGTGGAGGGCGTCTACCTGCATAACCTGCTGGTCATCGCAGTCTTCTCCGAGAAGAGCTTCTTCAATATTTATTTATATATCGGCTGGGGTAGGTGGTTGGCTGGTCAGCCTGTCTCGTTGTCTCTGTTGGTGTGAGTGTCCGGGGGTGGGGCGGGTGGTGGTGGGGAGAGTATGCAAGATATCACATCCGGGCTCGACTCCTCTAACTCCCTCATCCAAACCTCTGCAGCTCGTGTCCTCTCCCGCACCAGGCTCCTTGATCCGATCTCCCCCTTGGCCTGGCCACTCCCGCCCCGCCGTTGAAGGTCGGCCCTTCAGGCTTTCTGGCCCCACTTTCTGGAACTCCATCCCAAAGCCCCTCCGCCTCGCCCCCTCCCTTGGCCCGTCTCAAGACCGTCCTCGTCGATCTTGTTTTTGACCACACTCCCACCCTCACCCCATTGCCCTCTACCCCTCTTGACGCCGAATCCTTAACCGTCCAGCCCCTCGGGATGTCCTCCCGACGTGACAGGCTCTGTATGAACGTAATTTTGTTGTGGTTTTTGGTTTTCAGGAGCCCCTGTGTTATTTGTTGTTCCTTGGGTGGTGGTGAAATATTTATATGAAAATTCTGGGTAAGTGAAGGGTTAAAGTGCACCCGGTCTGACCGTAACCAAATCAGTGGATAACTAACAGATACGCGCTCACACACACACACGTACACACTCACTCTCGTGTTCACACACACACACGCACATACACACTCACTCTCGTATTCACACACACACATACACACTCACTCTCGTGTTCACACACACACATACACACTCACTCTCGTGTTCACACACAAACACACATACACATTCACACTCGTGTTCACACACACACACATACACACTCACACTCGTGTTCACACACACGCACATATCGCGCCCGGCGCTGTACAGTAAATTCCATGGAGTTGCTTTGAGACATCTCTTCTCCGCTGTATTACTGTTTAATCACTGACACGTTTGCCTCGGCAGATGTTGGACCTTGAATGAGAACATGGCATTTTGGTGGATCATCAGGTGTCCCATTCTCCTCTCCATATTGGTGAGTCGCGGTGCGCGATATAATAATGATAACGTTGCGAGAGAGACAGAGCAATGATGAGTGAGCGTAATAATTTGGTCGCTCAATCCACTGGGACACTGCCGTGCGCGCCATCGGCTGCCGCGTTTCGCCCACAAAACACATGGTCACTCCACTTCGCTACATAATTCTGTGAAGCGCTTTGAGACGTCTCGAAGACGTAATAAGGCGCTACATCAAATGCAAGATTATTATTATTATTATTATTATTGTTTCTCTTTTCAGATCAACTTCTTCATTTTTATCCGCATCATTCACATTCTGGTCTCCAAGCTGCGAGCCCATCAGATGAGATACAACGATTATAAATTTCGGTGAGTCTTGCTCCTGCAGGGGTGGGTTTGGGAGGGTATCGATGTGGGGGAAAGGGTGGGGTGGGGGGCAGGAAGCAGCGTAAAGCAGGGAAGTTCCACACTGGGGCAAACACAGGCTCATTGCGCCCAATGCAGTGGACATCTCCTGCATTGGAGACTGTGCGTCAATGGCTCCCCCTACATTAATGGGGCTATTGGTAGAGACTGGGCAGATCTATCCACATTCCCCCCAATCTATCCACAGTTTATACCAAGCCCTCCGCTTCCTGTGGGCCGAATGGTCTCCTCCTGTGCCTGAGTTCCTGTGTTGAATGTTCCTCTGGTCCCCAGATTGGCCAAGTCTACGCTCACGCTGATCCCGCTGCTGGGCATTCACGAGGTGGTCTTCGCCTTCTTCATGGATGAGCACGCGCAGGGAACACTGAGGCTCGTCAAACTCTTCTTCGATCTGTTCTTGAACTCCTTCCAGGTGGGGATCGGTCGATCAGTCTTTCTGTCAGTCTCTCTCTCGCTGTCTCGCTCAGTCGATCAGTCTCACGGTCGATCAGTTTCAAAAGCAAATTAGACAGATTTCTTTTAGGAAATAATATCTCGAATTCAGTTTATAGTTTGGGACGTGATGTGTGCAAGTGACTGCCAGCTTTGGTGGTAGGCGAACCGGATGGACCTTGGTCTTCTTTCGTCCAGCAATTTTTTATGTTGTTATTTGTCTTTGTGGGACATCACTGTGCTGCATTCGCCCACAACATGTACGGTCACTGCACGTTGGAGTTCTGTAACGTAGTAGTTAGCCCGCTCGCCTCACAACCGACAGGACCCAGGTTCGACTCCCATGCAGGGCGAGACCTTAGGCAAGTTTCGTTACTCCACGTACTCTGTTTACTTAGCAGTAAGTAGGAACCTGGTTGTAAGTCGATTAGCGAGTCGCAATCCTGTGAATACTGTGAAGCACTTTGATACGTTCTCCTGGTGTGAAAGGCGCTGGACTAGATATATTCACTATTATTTATTATTATTATAAGGATATTGTTATTTTAAGGCAGAGGATTTGGGGAATTGCTGTAAAGTACCTACTAACGGTGCCTGAACTCTGGCCCCATACGTATATCTCTCCATCTTCTCTCCGGAGGCTTATCCTGTGCAATGTGCTAAGTGGAATTTTAGCTGGATCAGTGAGAATTACTGTACTTACCTGAGCCTCTCTGCCTCTCCCAGGGGATGCTGGTGGCCATTCTGTACTGCTTTGTGAACAGAGAGGTAGGTGACCCACTCACTCAGAGCACCTGGACTGTGTGATGTGCTTTTTAATCTTGCTCGATAGCGGAGATGAAACATCTCAGTTACCGGGAGAGCGTGCGGAGGCCCAAACCGTTTACACTCCCAGAGAGAGAAGGGCTGAGAAGAGAGGATTCCCATCATAGCCCCTCACACAATGACCTCCACACATACCCACCCCCACACACCCGCCAACAACCCATCATCGAGCCTGCTCTCTCTCTCTCTCTCTCTCTCTCTCTTCGCCTTCCACCCCCCCCAATCCCATCACCTTCCACCCTCCCTTCTCTGGTTTCGAAACCTTCCTAAATAAAATCCAGCCAAAGCCTCAAAACCCCAGTCACTACACTTGAATAATTTTACAATGAAACTTTCAGATGCTTCATGTCGACCTTGTAGGTGCGACTAAAAAAAAATGCAACTTCTTTCTCTCATTGATTCTTCCTTTTTCTTTCGTTCCTTCTGTCATTCGTTTGTTCCATCCCTTCTTTCTGTCTTTCCGTCTGTCTTTCTGTCTTTCTTTCTTCCAAAAAAAAATATTCGGTCGCTCAATCCACGACTGTTTGTGGGACACTGCTGTGCGCAATTGGCTGCTGGGTTTCACCCACAAAATACACAGTCAATCCACTTTGCAGAGTACCCCGTGAAGCGCTTTGAGACGACTCGACGATGTGATACGGCGCTGTATCAAATGCAAGGATTATTACTATCATTCCTCTCTCTCAGGTGCAGTGTGAGCTGCTGAAGAAGTGGAAGCGCTGGAAGCTGGGGAAGGACATTGAGGAGGAATACAGGCACACGTATAGCCAGACCCTGCACCTCAGGCTCCCCGCCAACCTGGAGAAACACAAGCTGATGACGAGCGGGGCGGGAGCGGGGATCGGGGCCGGGATGGGGGCTGGAGGAGCCAGCTACCACAACGGCACGGGCAGAGTCAGCCCCACCGGACCCCCCTGTGCCGAGCGAGCGCCCCCCAGCACGGAGCCGGTGCGAACCACCGACCGGCTTCACTGCTATGGTTTCCCTCAGGAGCCCGACCACAAAGCCCTCTGTCCGGCTGAGAGCAAGTGCTGAACTTTAATCCCAGTCAGTGGCCATGCGTCCAGGGTCCTCTGACAATCACCCCCTTTTCCCCCCTCACTATTGGGGGGCTTCTGTGAGTAGGGGAAGGGGTGGTCTCTCCTGGCCAGGCGACAAGGAGGCAAAGGCAGGGGGTGGTGTGGGGTGGAGGTGAACAGGTTGTCAGCACTTTAAGGAGCTTTGGAGAGGCTGGGTTTTGTTGCTTTGTCTCTTCTTCCCCCCCCCACCCCTCACCCCCAACAAACTGTTCATATCTTCACTGTGGAGCCACACGAGAACAAACAAAACTTCCCACAATAAGGTGATACACCCGGTGGGGTGGGGTGGGTGATTGGGGATTCACCCCCTTGCTGATTCCCCCCCCACCCCCCAATCTATGTAAGGAGTTGGAAAGCTGAGATCATTCACTGAAACTAAATTCTCACCCAACAGTTCGAGGGAATTTGCTTCCCCCCCCAATTTGAGCCTCTCTCCCCCACCACCCCCTACCATGTTAAACCAAGACTCTCTTCTCCTCCTCCCACCCCCCTCAGTGCCTCAGTGGTGCCCCAAAATTGACTACTTTTATTGCTCGTTCCTGAAACCTCGCACGGGGGAGGGGGGGCTGTTTCCCCCCAGAGATAGGGACACAAGAAATCTTATATTTTTTTTAAGCAAGGCTTTCTCCCCCAGCACAAGTTGTCCCCCCCACCACCCATGCTCTCTCGCTCTCTCTCCATCCCCCCCAACCCCTCGTGAAGTCACCATCGCTCACCGTCGTGCGTGTGAGCACAATTTTGCGTTCCTTTGCGACACACTAAAATGTGTGTCACTCAGCTTCGTGGCTGGATTATTTTATGCAGAGCGACTGGGGTGTGGATGGGGGGGGTTTGTGTGGGGGTGGGGATTGGTGTGGGAAGGGGGAGGGAGGTGGTGAAAGGGGCGATGTCCAACGCACTAAACCAATTCCGCATTGGAGAAGCTGGCAACAAAAAAAAGGCATCTATAAATAAACCATGAGGTGTGCCTTTTTCTAAAAAAAAAGTATCAAATGTCTAATGATCATCAAATCAAATAGTTTTAAGACGTGAAACGAAACTACGGGAAAAAGGCGAATCTATGAATCGTAAAAGCCTATTTTGCACAATTTAATTTATGTAAATATGTAAATATCTGTACATACAATATAATATAAAGAAGACTTTTGTATGTGATGCCTTCAGGTAGCCCCGCCCTGCCCCACCATTCCTTTAAGGATTCAATCATCCTTCAATCGAATGGTTTTGTTCCCAGAATTATACCCCCCCCCCAACTCCGACCATTCAGTTCCGGGGATCCGCTGAATGTAATGATGTGTATAAACAAAATGTGCTTTAATGGTTATTACTTCCCTCCCTCCCCCCCCCCCCCCCAGCCGCGTATCTGCTTCCGTGTCTGATCTCTCACCGTGTCTGACGGCGTTGGCTGCTGCTGGTTGAGGCTACGGTCAGCTCAGACCTGCGTTTGAGGCTGCCTCCGTTTTCCCCACATTAAACAATTTCCCGTAATGTGAATCGAGATTCTTTGTGTTTATCTGCGTGTTTGAAAACGAAAGAGTAAAAACAAGAAGAGAGCGAGAAACAGGGAGAAAGGGAGAGAAACAGAGCAATGTACACACGTACAAACAGGCAGAGAGAGATACGACAATAATAATAATCCTTGCATTGGATAAGAGCACCTGAGAGCACATTGTTGAGACGTCTCAAAGTGCTTCACAGAATATATTGTAAATATTATTGGATTGACTGTGTTTTGGGGGAGAGAAAAATGGCAGCCAATTGCGCATAGCAGTGTCCCACAAACAGTCGTGGATTGAGTGACCAAATGTTTTTGTTTGAGGATTTATTACCCCCAGAAAGCAATCCGCCAATTGACTAATAACCGGATTTCTACCTACTGCTAAGTAAACAGATGTGAGTGGATTAAGGAAACTGGCCTCGGGTTTTGCCTTGTACCGGAATCATACCCGGGTCCTCTCGCTTGCAAAGCGAGTGTGCTAACCACTACACTACGGGGCTCTAAGTGACACTGGCAATATGTTCTGGAAAGAGTTAAAAGTCTTAGAATGAGGGATGGAGTTTCAGTCAGAAATTCTGCTTGTTGCCAATTTGTTCATTAACAAAAAAAAATCTTATTTTTATCGGAGAAAACAAACAGCTCAGTGTTGGGAACCCAGGAGCTAAGGTGCTTTAGCAGTCGTGTGACAATTTAAACCCCGAGTAGCTGAGCTGCAGCGGAGCAGTCGAAGAGCGGGTAGAGAATTAGGCAGCGCTCAGCGACCGGTAAATAATAATCATTAAAAATAACAATAATAATCCTTGCATTTACATAGCACTTTATCACGTTTGTTGAGACGTCTCAAAATGCTTCACAGAATATATTGTAAATATATTGGATTGACTGTGTATTTTGTGGGCGAATTCACAGGATACACTGTGAAGTGGAGGGACTTGTATTTTTGAACGCAACATGGCAGTCAGTTGGCACACGGCAATGTCTCACAAACAGCCACGGAACGAGTGAGTGACCAATTTTATTTGAGGAGATTTGTTCGAATAGTGCCATGGGATCTTTAACATCCACCTGAACAGGCAGATGGGTTTAACGTCTTCTGAAGAACGGAGCCTCCAACAATGCAACACCCCCTCAGCACTGAGCTGGAGCATCAATTTAGGTTAAGTGATTCCAAGACTAAGTGATTCCATGGGGGCTTGAACCCACAACCTTCTGACTCAGAGGCGAGAGCACTACCGACTGAGTCAGGCCGACACAGAGTACAGTAGCAATCGTAACAATAATAAAAATATGAATAATAACATCTCCAACGCAATCAAAGTATCTGAATCCACATCACATTGTCGCTAAGTATATTCCCTGGACAATTTGTACACACTTTGATATTTGATGTAAGAGCCAACTGATACGAACGTCAACCAGCAAAACGGACATCAAATAATAACATCACAATAATCTGGGATTCGCAAAGTACAAAGGGATAGAACAGTAATCTGCCGCAGACCTGATATTTTCACAAAGAACCCAATGGGTTGTACATATCGTATAACTAATACGACCATCATCCCAAGTGATTCTGCTGGAGAAAATGAGGAACTAGAGAAGAGCAGCAAATATTAGCAATCCACACATTGAATGTGGACGTGTGTGGCAGTGTCAACACAAAGATAGTTCATATAATCATTAGTGCAACTGGAACAGTTAATAAGACTATTTAGAAATGGCTGACAAGATACCTAGTGAACAAAATATCAACCTGTGGCCAAAAGCAGCAATATTAGGAAGTTCAAATACACTGAGAAAAGTAATTATTGATTTTTTTAAACTGCAATAACATAATAATAATAATACAGTGATAAGGTAACAATTGCAACAAGAGTATAAATATTACCCACAATAATAGCAACAAGATTAACAGTTAAAATAACAATGGTCACGATTATAACAATATTAATAATAATAATAACAATGGTAACAATTGCAAACAGTGACAGTCGAGCCTGTAGCTCAGTGGTTAGAGCGCTCGCCTTGCAAGCGAGACACCCGGTTCGATTCCCGGCAGCGGGCGAAACCTTGGGCAAGTTTCCTCACTCCACACGCCTGATAATAATCCCTCCAAAACAAAACAAATAATAAATCGGTCACTTTCACCGCACGGCTGTTTGTGGGACGCTGCTGTGCGCAATTGTCTGCCCACAAATATACAGTCAATTCACTTTGCAGCATATTCTATGAAGCGCTTTGAGACGCCGAGAAGACATTGAAAAGCGCTGTATCAAATGCGAGAATTATTATCATTATTATTATTATTATCATAGAACAACTGACGCTCCCAGAGTCGGGGGCTGGTGGGAGCAGAGCGGCGGTGGTGGTGGTGGTGGGGGGGGTCGGGTGTGTGTGTGTGTGTGTGCGTGTGCGTCAGAGGGAGTCACGCTGACTACACTCAAACACACAGCAGCTCCCTCGTGCCACTCGCTGTCTCGCCCGCCTGTTGCCTGCGTGCACACCCGGCTCCAACCTCATTAAAAGCCAGTAATGAAGCTGTGTCAATAGCTGTGAGGGAACAGCCCTGTCACCCGTCCGCTCATTACCGGTGACTCCGTCCTTCAGACTTGCGTCAACACTCTCGAAACCGCACCCGAAACCCACCCTCTACCTGAAGCCAGAGACTCAGACTGGAACTGACACACACACAGAGAGAGAGGGGCTCCGTATATCACAGACCATTTCACAGCACGTATCAGCGGTCAGAGCGAGAGAGAGAGAGAGAGAGAGCGGTCAAATAGTCATACATCCGCATTTACAGTCGTTGTTTGACAAACAAACTTTGCGTTTATTTGGAGATAGTTTGCTGCTGTACACAGCTCTCTCTCACAAAACAAGCCTGAGGCCATAAACGACAACAGCAACTTGCACTTAGGTAGCGCCCCCTCACGCGCAGGCAGCGTCGGTTGTGGTGGGGGGGAGGCGGGCGGAGGGTTTGCAGACACGGTCGAAGAGGAGAAGTCTTCAAGTGCGACGTGAAGACGGGCCAAAGAGAATCTCAACATAGAATCAGTCGTTGCATTTGCTGCAACGACTATAATGTCCAAATGCACCTCGTGGGGAACGGGATGCACTGTTGATGGTTGTAGTGACTGTGTGTTTTGAGGAGGGAGCGAGCGATTTTATCCCGAGGGCTACCGACCGCCTGTGTGTGCGCAGACATTAAAGATCTCCGCAGCACTGTGGGGGAAAAGAGAAGGGAGTCTATGCACCCCCTTGTTTCTTCCTCCACCCCCACCCCGTGTCCTGGCCGAGAATCAAACCGGTCGTTCACCTCACCACTATCTGTGGATGCTTTGCTGGCTCGAAACATTTTTTTTTAAAAAGAGCTGAGGACAAAGCGGCTTCCAAATTAAGAGTGGATTTGAGAACGTTCCAAACTTGGTACGTTTTCAGACCAACAGCTTGGAGTCCGGGAGCGTGAGAGATTTCTGATTTCAGGGTTTTGGAGGGGGGGGGTGGGGGAGAGGAGAAGGAGAACAGTTTGTGAGGGAGAGAGAATATAAACACGCTCAGAGACGTCAAAGGCCTGATTTCCCTGGAAAGCGCTGAAAGCGGCAATTACCAGCGCCTGCTGCCCGCTGCATAAAGTCAATACCATTATTAGGCCTTGTTAAGTCTAATGCACTTCATTATGAAACACTATGGAAACCCAGGATTACGTCTGTGAACAAATCAAAGTGTTTATCAGTTTCTGGGAGATTCCAGGGGTCTGCGGAGCACGCTCTCTCTCTCTCTCTCTCTCACACACACACACTCTGTCTCTCCTTTTCTTTCTGCCTTTCATTCTTTCTCTCACTCTCTTTTCAGGTGTCGCTTGCTTTCTCTCTCTCTCTCGCTCTCTCTCACTTTTTCTCTCGTTCTCTCTGTGTCTCCGTCAGCCTTCTGCCTTCAGGATGTCACATGCATATTAATAATAATAATAATCCTAATTAAGACATCTCAAAGCGCTTCACAGAATATACTGTAAAGTGGGTTGACTGTGTATTTTGTGGATGAAACGTGCTGTGACTCTGGTTCATGTAGTGACTGTAGTTTGCAGGTGAAAGGCTGAGGAGAGATAAAAAGCAGCAAAGGTGCCCACTGGCCGGCGAGGGAACTGATTCTGTGGCAAAATCAATGTTTAAAGTAAAAACATTAGAGTAATCCACATAAATAAAAATAACTGCCGGGAACTCCTGCTAAAGAAACCCAGTGCCCAGTGAAGTGTGTGCGAACCTTGCAGATGGGATTTAAGTCGCTGAGCACTGAAATGAGCAGCCGGAGGCCACAGAGTTTGGTTTAATGAGAGGTAAGAGCTGAGAGGAGCAGAGGGCTGGAAAGAACACATCTCCGGCTCGTGCCACCCACCGGCGAGGGAGTCACTCCGCTGACCAATCCACCCCTTCCAATTTCACCTCCAAAATAGTCCTGTGGCGTACTGGTCAGCACACTCGCCTCACAAG